ATATTTGTGGGAGAAGGATGTTTGTTCTTTTTCCTGATAATGCAGCTTCAAACGAGTCGCTGACAGAGAGGTTGCTAGTCCAATGACAGGGGTTTGAAGGATGGATGCCGGACAGATGTCCGAGGAAATGCCTCTGATGAGGATGAATGAAGTGTAATGCCAGGGAGGAAAAAGTCACCGGTTCTACTCCCTGGGCTGAGAACATCACACATCAAATGAGGTGTTATCAATTGTCATGAATGAATGTTCTTTAAGGTTCATACTGATCTGGCTGACAGTTTATTAACATCAAATTGACATCACTTATCATTATTAACATCTAGTTAATGTTACCAGCACAGTTAAGGGTTTTCTATTTTCTGATTTTACTTTTAAACATATAGATGGAGGAGTGTTTTTAAAATACATCTTTAGCCAATCAAACACTTTGACACAGTGAACTTACTGATTTCATTAAGCTATGAGTTAATAAATGATTAATGCTACACTAGAGCTTTGGGATTTTTACATGTACTGAAATGATTATAGAACACTGTTTTGACATTACAAATATTTATAGGTTGTGTTTACAATGCTAATCAATTATTGATGTGATTATATGTGAAGCTAAGTTCTTGGTAAATTTTTAACAAGTACAGATGTGTACTTTAGAATTATGGTTAATTTGAATGTTGAACTCAGCATTAATTGGGTGACAGGTCTTCTCCAACTACCTTGAGAGATGAGATGATTGATGGACTGACTAATTACGGGATGAGTTTAATATTAACGTTTATTAACAGTATTATGGAGCGTTATGATGATTTTTTTTCCTTAAAATTAACATGGTTGAACAAGATACTTATGCATGGTACTTGGCCAAATATCACCTTTTAATGATGACTTGTTGAATTGTTTATTTAATTAATATTTTGTGTGAGTTTTTAATGTGTTTTTGCAAATTTTGGGGGCTGATCATGATGAAATAACGCCACTAGAAGGTGCAATTGCGATGATAAACTTAATTTTTGACATTGTTTTCTATGAAATAAATTTTTACAGCTGACGGCCATGGAGAAGAGACCAGAGAATTTTGATGAATACATTTGAGGTTTTATAATATAGATTTTCCAGGGGGTGAACTTATGACACTTTTCAATCTAAATTGATGTTAAATTAAAGGGTGGTGAAATGGGTAAATTGATTTGTTGGTAAATTGGGAATGTTTTTATATTAGATCATCAGGGGAAGTTGGGAGGTTCTATTATTTACATACATATGCATGTTAAAACATAAACGTTTAATTCAGATTTTTAATCACACAAACACATTTTTCAGCTGTGACAGGCTAAACATACCAGCAGCGCTCTGTGCAAATAAAATAGGGACGGCACGATTGAAAAGGGAAGGGGGCACATAGTTATTTCTTTTTTTCTTTTTCAGATGGACACGATGGACCAGGCCTACCCTTGGAGTCAAAAGAGAAGACCAGGGTCTACAAACTGATTAACATATTTTAGATAAGAATGCTTTCTTGCATTAGGATGCCTTTTGCAATCATTAAATCATATATTTAGAGAACTGACTTAGAAAAATGTTAGAAATTTCCATTATGTCATTGCACCACACCAGGGGGATGCTGAAGTCCTAGGCAGATGTCCAGATGCTGGGTCAGGCAGCCTGAGGCTGGTCACGTTAGCCGTCAGCTCTGGCATCTTATTTTGACCTGAGGCGGCCAGGTCACACACACTATAACCTGTAGGCATCTCCCGCCAACATATAAGGAGTAGTTCACATTCAACCAGAGGAAAGTGATTAATTGCTTGCTTATCTGGCGGTATTGAACTGGGAGTTTTTATGTGGGGGAACCCCTTCGGGGACCCCCGCCCAGGGGGAGTTGTTAAGATATTTTAATCTAGACTGGTCCTAAGGTTTTGATCTGCTCAGAGACGTGATTATAATGAAATTATGACCTGGTTCTGACTGGGTTAAACTGGGCCAGCAAACTCTTTTAAAAGAGTCTCCCTGGGATTTCAATATCAATCAAATAGTTTAATCGGCTTGCCACATCACGTAGAAAGGCTTTGAAGCACCGTCTCATATTTCCTAACACTTCAGTCCACATAAGACCACACTTAGCCACGCCCCCTCATACACTGATAGGCTGAGCTCCCTTTCTGCGAAAGGAGGAGTCATAGGACCCCATAAATTAGTAATGACACGGGACTTGAGGCTTTTCCAGGTCTGTGAACACATCACAGTCTGGAGAGTCCAGCGCTGTAACTTGTAGTCTGTTCCTGCCTTTTTTAATATAATTGATAAAACTTAATTGACGTTTCCTTGATTTATTGATTAGTATAGTGCCACTTCTGAGGGAGGTCCAAGCCGGGGGCAAAGACGTGGGCTGGAGGGGGTTTCCGGATCCGGTGGTCCGCAGCCAGCTCCCGTCTTTAACAGTTGGATGCAGTATTTTTTATTTTTGTACATTTTTCACTTGTTACTTTTCCTATTAAACATTTTTTTCTTAGGTGGTGTCCTTGAACATAACATTTTCTAAACAAATTTTACAATGTTAAGTGCATATAGTGTTTGTTTAAATCCTTACTGGAAGTTGAGAAAACATTTCCAATTACATTTGATCTATAATGAATCCTAAGAAAAGATTACCAGAATCTGCGCAACTTATAATTTTTTTTGTTCTAGGATGAAGTAAGAAAAAAAACGGTCAAAAATTCAGAAAAGACAGTTATCAGTTATCGGCTGTACAACTGTGGCCCGAGAGATTCAGCTGAAAGCCCTGGTGCACCTTTTACATATTTGAACATGCAGAGATTTGAACAGCTGATCTGAAGTAAACAGGCAGGTGTTCTCTTCTAGGAGGACCCCCAAGGCGTTTGCAGACCAACTGACTATTTATTAAGTAATATCCTGATGCATGCTCAACAATTCAGGTAGAAAAATCTAAAAAAGTTAAGTCTGGTAATTACATTTTGTCATTATTCAAACTGAAAATAAAAGTTGCAGAATTTTGTGACTTAACCAACCAGGATTTTGTGTTTTAATTCAGAAGAATCAGAATAGGAATAAATTTTATTGGCATTGCACCGAGATACAACGCGAATATGTACGTACAGTCGTCCGAAGATGGGCGGAGTGCACGAAGCTGCGGCTATAAATAATTAGCGCGGCCTTCTTATTCTTATTCAGAATAATATTTTGCTTAGATAAGAAAAGGAAAGAAAACATGAGGAGAGACGGTATAAAAAAAAAGATCTCTCACACCGTGTCCTAGACAGGGCACAATTTGAGGCATCAAAAAAACCTACCACAGCAAAGCAACATAAACAGACATTATACATTTACATATAGGTGGTGAAAACATTGAATTTTTAAGGGAAAGTCGTAGCATAGTCAAGAGCCCCCCCTCAGCCATTGTCCAGATAAGAGGTGACGTTCATCTTTAGCTCAGTTGAGGTTCTGTTACATGTCCACGGCCTTGGGGAAGGGAGGGGTGAGGAAACAGTCAAAGCATCTTTTTTGTTTTCAAAACATTCCAGGAGGAGTTGAGATAAGTCCGGCATCAAGGCCACAGTTTGGGTCAGGCAGAACTTATGAATTGTTGTTTCTGCCTTTTAAAGTCTTGCTGTACATATTCTCTGATGGAAACTCCAAAACAGCCGAATTGATCCTTTACTCCAAAAGTCGAGCTCACAGCTTCTCCAGATTATTCCACCATTCATGAGTGCTGCCAGGGAGATCACAGTCCTGATAACAGTTGCTCCAATTCCCTGTCACAGCTCCACATTCAGTCCGAGCACTGTCAAGCTTCAACACCTCCACACGAATATGTAGACAACCAGATTTCACCAACCCAAACAGTAGAATCTAGTTGTCATCATGAATCCAATTTGTTGCTTAGAGGTCAGAGGGTCCTCCTTACCCTAACTCTGTCGGGAGAAGTTGATCGATTTTGTTGAGAGACCAGCTGATCCTTCCAATTAAGAGGTATGCAGGGAAAAAAAAGAGGCTTTTTTTAAGGGTTCACAGGACAAGAGAGTGCAGCAGGGAAGCGGGGGGGCGGGGGCGGACACGTCTGGTTTCACCGTAGAATAGCAGGAAAAGTGAGGGGGATCACAACATTGCCAAGAACTCACCTTAATTAAGGTCGGTCCACATTTATTACATAACTTTTGAACTGTTGGGGTAAACAAAAGGTGTATTGTTGGTCCTGACTAACTTTTCCTCTACACCCCATAATCCCTTTTTTACTGTCTCCAACACAAGATTGTTTTATTACTTTTGTTTTAGTAATTAATTACAATACAGACAGTGTTTTACATTGAGAACAATGTATTTTAATGAAATTAAACCTATTTTTCTCTCAACTTTGACAACACTAAACAAGAAATACATAGAAACGACCTACAAATCACTTCAATAAAGTTTAAACAAAGAATGAGTCATTTGTTTTCTTCAAATCGCTTTATTTATGACATTTCATTGCTTCTTTTTAAAAGATATTATCAGCTGTTTTTATAGAACATAACAATATAAATCATTTTTCAGCTCTAGCCACAACATTATCTCTGGACATCTAAGGGAAAGACATTTTGCATGGATTTCCTTTTCTTTCCTCAACCTCCATGCAAGCCCCCATTTAATAAAAGCACATAAGTTTACAATAGTGGTACATAAACCCAGTAAGCCAAAGTGGTCTACAAATTCTCCGGACTAAACTCTAATAAAGTGTATTAACAGCTACAGGAGACTCTTTAAAAAAAAACATTAAAACAAGAGATCAAGTTAGTCTAAAAAAATGATATAAATTAACTTAAAAGCCTTTTGTTGATAAGGAAGTTGTACTATTGTATTTATACAAGTATCTATAAAAAATACTTGGAATGTAAAAGGAGTGCAAGTGAAGGTTTCACTCCTGGCAGGTCTACAGATGACTGAGGAACTCTGAACATGGACTCTGTGCTGTACAGTGATACACTGTTTCAGTTTCATTATGTTAGTCTTCACAGCACTGGTGGAGAGCCAGTTCAATCTTAACGTCCCCCAGTAGTCTTCATGCATGAAAACTATGGGTCCAGTTCAGAAGTCTTCATTTGTTCTGACCTAATTAATATCTGCGTGAAAATTCTCCACGTTTAGGGCGTCCATCTTCTGTGTCTTGCTGTCACAGCTTCCCATGTCTCATCTTTTGGAAATAAATTTCATCCTGTTTCCTGAAAGAACGAAAACAACAATAAATCAAATCTACAAAAAATAAAATAAAAAAGGAAAACTGGTGGTTTTACAGTGATGGAGAAATCAGATTGACTGCGGCTGTACAATACATCTCACCCATGCCCTTGAGGAACTTGTTCACGCCTCTCTGCTTACTCCCAGGAAGTGACTCCAGATACTCTTGAGCTCTTACCTCAAACAGGCCTGTACACAAACAGAAATATTAGAATTAAAACATTTTCAAGAGATTTTTTACCTCTACTTTAATGATTGATACACAATGGTGTGTGATAGCGCGAGTTATA